CAAAAAAAAAAAAAAAAAAAAAAAAAAAAGGGTACGTGCACGTGCTCTGAAAAATACGTGGAGCAAGGGGCGTGGCTTCCGTACAGATAACGGTGGTACGGGAAATGAATGTCTACTGTATTAACAATTTTTTTAAATATTGTGTATTTTAATAAAGTTTAGGAACATTTATGTTGCGTCCGTGTTTAGAAAAATTTTATTATAGACAGACCGTCTATGAGACCGAAACATCTATTCTGAAACAATCATTGTTATTACAAATATCAGTGCACAATCAAAGTCAAACATTTGAAATCAAACAATATTATTATTTTAAACAAAATGGATCAAGGAATATTTATATATTTTATGCGGGAATATAAATATTGTAATAAATAGAGAATGGAATCACTTCAAAAATTGAAACATCACCTTTGTTCCTTTTCGGAAGGTTATACAGGTTCGGGCCGAATAACATGTACAAGTGGGCACCGCGTGATTCCTTGTGAAAAAATAAGAAAAAAATATAAAATAAAATCTTTGTCATTCTCGGATTAGTTTTCGAGAAAATCGAATTTGAATCTTACATAATCTGAAACACGTGTATTCGCATGGTAGTAAGTAGAAACGAAATGCAATGACTAGACAAGCTGGTCTAGCCCTATTGAATTGTATGCGTATCCAGTAGATATTCAAAATTGATTTCTTCGAAAACGAATGCGAAAATGACAAAATCTTATTCTATATTTTTTTCTTATTTTTCCATAAGGAATCACGTGATACCCGCTTTGACATATTAGTGGGACCCTGTATAAAGTTTTACGACTTTAAACAGCTGATTAGAATACAAATAATATTTATTGTAATAATTTTGTTTCTATAATACTTGGTATAAGAGGTATGGGAATAATTAATTCACTATTGATTTATGTTCAATGGGCATCATACGTCAAATTGATGCATGTTTTTATTAACATTTTGTTTGAAGAAAGAATTCTACATGAAAATAATTATGTACTCTGCAGCTTTTATTTAATCAATTTTCTTCTGACACTAACAATATTTGTACAAACTAAAATGGTAATTCCCAATGTCTTACCAGTGTAGTACTCAATTCTATAAATATTTATTGTACAACGTGTCATGCAACTGGTTGTACAACCGGGTAGGAGGTGATTTTACATGAAAAGATAAGTCAACAATATAGAATAACATTTTTTCATTTGAGACTTCGTTTTCGGGAAAATCGACTTTTATTTGTAATGCGCCTATTCGTTATGGTAGTGTGTAAGTAAAAACGGAATGCAATGAACCGACGCGTTAACCAAGTCCTATTCAATTGTACGCGTATCCAGTAGATTTTTAAAGTCGATTTTCTCGAATACGAAATCTAAAATGCACAAATTTTATTATATATTTTTGATTTTCTTTTTACGTAGAATCACCCGCCACTCGGTTTTACCACCAGTTACATGATACCATGTGTATACGTTGACGTGTAAACAACGTCTTGTATTTACATACGTATTTTATATTTATATGGTGTATAAACAAATTTTCACAAAAGACATAACAAATAATGAATCCTCTGGATGTTTCATTTTTTTATTTCGTGTCTTCTACTTTGCTCGTATTATTTCTTTCTTATCATATTGAATTTCTCCTACTGTTAAAGTACACGTTCTTAAAGGCTATTTTCCAAACAAAACTTTGAAAAAAATGAATATGCTCGTTACATATGACAACATTTGGTTCAACTTTTTGCCCGTCAATAATTACAACAAGTAGAAGCAGAGAGTAACGAACAGACATTTCATCAAGTCATGTAAATTATCCGTCTTTTCGTGGAACATTCAAATCCAATTTTTTTGAAAAGAAACTATCCCATGAAAACATTTCATTTGTCTCTGTATTGTTGAAAATTGTACCACCCTGTGTAAAATTACGCACGAATGAAGCAAACTATTAATGCCTTGAGTCATATTATTTGTTTACTTTGTGGTTTCATGCCTTCCATTTTGTACGACGAGCAAAGTGCAGCCAACACAAGCGTTTAGTGTCATACCGTAACCGCTATCTATTTGCACCTGAGGCACTGCCGTGACGTTCTGGCGTAATCACACAGTTCTATAAGTCACCTCAATTTCCTTGATAATTCCTAAATATTACTGCCGTGAATTACTGTCGACACCTGTTCCACAGTTGTAAACCTTTGCCTGTAATAACCAAAATACACGCCACTTTTCTCATACTTCTCCTTTAAAGATTAAATGATAAACATTTCATTCTTACCGACCAGTTCCGTATAAACGGCCAATTTTATAGGCGTCCCTTGAATTACATTTGAAACAGAAAAATATATCCTTCAATAAGCTTCGGTCAAATAAAATTTTTTTAAAGGGAATGCTGAACAACATTGCGTAATGTAACATTTGATATTTCTTAAATTTACCAATTAAGGGACTCTTTTGACTCTATTATTAAAACATGGAAAATAAATTTCTTTCACGTTGAAGCAATTTCTCATAATAGACACGGATATATCCGTAACAAATACGCATTTATGGTATTGAATGTATGTACATTATTCCCGTTGCACTCAGTTAAATGAAATGAACAATTCAATGAATTTGAATGGAAATTATATTTATAGGTTCGCGTAATATGGCGTGTAATGATATATGGAAGAAGTTACATAAATCATTCTTATTTTTACATATATTTTGTGAGCATGTAAATTAACACTAGAACTACCAGCGTTGTATGTATTATAAATTAAATTGAATAATATATTAATGTTTATAGTATATAATACAGT